TGTTGAGGCTGAGATTATTGTCCTTGCACCATGACACCAGACTGGCCACCTCCCTCCTGTAGGCTGCTTCGTCCCCTGTAGGCTGATATGTCCCACTTCATATCAATAGAATTAATTTTCTGTAAACTATAGAATGTTTGTACAAGATGTGCCAGTCCAGTAGATGTTGAGTCATTTCACATGATAAATGAAAGCTTTGACCTGCTGGTGGTGCTAGATACCTTCTGCTAAGTTTTTTTCAGCATACTACGACCTGGATGACTGAGAACTTGCACGGACGCTTTGCCATTTGGTTTTCAAGACATTTCATTATTCATCCAAGAGGCTTCATCAGTTCTATTGATTAATACCGACTGTGGGGGAGTCCCAGGCGTTGATGTTTGATGCGAGTATGATAAGGGTATGGAGCAATCGTTTAAAAGATGTTTTTTTTTCTGGACTTCTATAATCATTTCATCCCCTTGCCAGGGTTTAGCCAAGCACAGGATAAAGCAGTCATAAGCAATAATACACATGCATTACCTTAAATGGTTTCGCATTGTTCCATCTAAATATCCATTAAGCTCTCTCTGAGATGCTTATTTGTAATAAATAAATCCTGATTAAAAGTAGATGCTGACATTGTCAAGCTGTTCACATATCTTCACTGAAACCTGAACAGATGTCTTGAGAGCTACTAAAATTGGATTTGACCAGATCAGCCCACATCTTTGCTACACATGACACAAGCATTTGAATTCAACCTTCTCTTAAACAAAAGTGACAGTCTTAAATAAATGTATTAGATGCGACAAAAGATTTAAACAGTTTCCCTCACAACCTGCAATCATCCTGGGGCTATCAGACCTGGAATCTGAATCTTATGAGCTGGTTATCTATTCCAGGCTCTGCCTCTGAGCCTGTATCGGTAATTACGATTTATCAGGACTGGAGAGTCAAGGAGCTGATGAAGATCACAACAGGACTAGGGCAGCTCTCTCAAACATGTTGGAAAATGTGCAACAAAGGAGAAAGTGTGCAATGTTTTAATTTCACGATTTATTAGCATTTTTGCCCAGCTTTCCATGTACACAAAATAGTAACACAAACAGCATGGTACTGTAAACAATGAATGAACATACTGTACTTTGAGATTTTCTGGGACATAACCCAGGTCAGAGGCTGGCTCAAAAGCGATTAAATCACTTCTTAATTAGCTGGCCATATCATCTGGAAGTTTTAACATTTCACAGTTTGGTTATATGTTGACCATTTACCATATGTCCCGTCACTGGCCAAATATTAGAAATACTACCTAAAAGAAGCAGTTTGGCAACTTGTAAAACAGAATCTGCAAGGCCACTCGGAGCACTTTCTGCCAAAATAGATCAAGCATGCCTACGTACAATCAGCTGTTGAAATACAGTTGTTGCAGCATGTAACAACCATAGTAGCACAGCTATTAAAATTATAGCATTACTGGTAACATACATTCAGAAAAAGGTCAGAAAGACCAAATCTTCAGTTTGTGGAGGCAGAAAGAGAAACGGCATAAACTCGAGTTAGTGCCCAAATCATGAAGTATAAGAAATAGCATATTAATAAATATTCTGTTCTCATATTTTGAGCTTTTTCTTTGTTGTGTAAGAATGAAAAGGTAATTAAAAAACAGGAGAAAAACAACTCAAAGCTGTCACAGACTAGTGTGCTGGCTTGCTCTATGCCTGCTGACCTCGTGTTTGGATGTCAAGTTAAAAAAAATAATAATGGTGTGAAAGGAAAATGCGCCATTCTTGTGAATCCTAATCACACTGTGTGATCCGGTGGATAATTCTTCCTTTCTTGTATTTATTTTGGTGATCACAGCTTTTTGTTATGCATTTGATGAAATCATGTCCATGAGATATGATCTTGATCATGCTGGTAGTCTGCATTAAAGGTCTATGTTCTCTGTTTTTCTGGACTGTGTTTGCCACCAAAGCACTTTGCCACTTTTCAGTAAAAATGGCAAAAATCTGGTTTCTTAATTTAGTCCTCAGCGGCTGAGTGTCTTATGAGCATCAATGACTACATCATTGAATTGTTTTAACTCAAGGCAAGCCTGCGTTTGGTTTTAACATATACACTACATATGGCATCATCAACAGAACACGACCTGACAGCGATGACTTGCGTCACAGTTTAAACACTTAAACACTAGAAAAGTCATTTGAAAGGAAAAACAAACAAAAAGAATCAGCACTAACATAGTGCATAGAGCATCTTGTTTATTCTCAATACTTCAAAAAAGGCTGTTTATTTACCCAGAAGTCTTGGGACATTTCCTTTTGTAAAGATCCAGCACTGATGAGACAAAGTCAAATGTCAGTTTCCTTTGTCCTTTGAATGTCATGGGTGACTGTGGACTAAAGGTTTTTGTCTCTCTCACAGCACAAAAATGAGACAAAAAGCCATGTGGCCCTTCTGAGTCTTCACACCCACAAACACAAAAACCCTCCAGAATAAACACTTGTGGTACCACCTTGTTTTCTTAGTCTTCACACCCACAAGCACAAAAACCCTCTAGAATAAACACTTGTGGTACCACCTTGTTTTTCAGAATGCCATGTTTTGTAGGTTGCAAACAGGGGTTCTATGTGTTCATGTTGCAAGCAGTTAAAAAACTAGAGACCAGTTTATTTCCTATGTCCACAGACCTTTGTGTCTCATTTTCATCTTGACCAGCTTTGGTTCTTCTTACCTGTAGAGGAAAGTTGGCTGCAGCCAAAAACTCTGGGCTACGTTGCCCCTCAACAGCAAATCACGTGAACCTCAATTTGTCTGTTTGCTCCGTTCCTGGATCACAGCTGAAGCTACAGTAACACGTCACCCAGCTCAAACAGGTTAATAATCACTGGTATGTAACAATCTGAATGCAGTCTATAGCAGCCTGGTTACATATCCATGTCCCCATCATAAGCCAGAGTCAAGGGCTTCTGCGGTGGAGATGCCTTAGTGGTTTTGGATGGCTTGCTGAAAAAGACAAAAAGGAAAAGCTGACAGAGTATCTGACATAGCACAGGGCAGCTCAGCTTGATTTCAGTTTTTACAGAGAATTCCATTATCTGATAGCAGCAGCACACAGCAGACAAAATACTGTGAGGAATATAACTCAAACCTGACAGGGTTCTGTTCAGCGCTGCTGGTTAGGAATTTGCTTTGCTTCTCAGTGTTCGGCCTGGTCTCATCGACAGTGTGTGAGACTGACAGCGGAGCTTTTGTTTTTCCAACTGTGCATAGTGAGGAATCTCCAAAGAGTATAATATATACATACCAGACCAGGAATGATAATGCAATAACGAAGAGTATTAGGATGAATCCAACGACAGTCACAGCATAAACCCACAGCTTTACTCTTCCATCTGTGTGATCAAAAAGCAGTTTTAATACAAAGTTTTAAATACATATGTTTACATCTTTTGTTTGGATAGCTTTCATGGAGAGGAGAGACTGAAATGTCTTGTTAGTTTTATCTTCCATTGAGATTTTTTTTTTTTTTTACAACATGTAAAAACCCAGAATAATTCCATCCCTGGCCCAGTGTTCCCACAGCTACATAGGCAGGTTCAAAAGTAGGAATGATCTGAGGCCAGCTGGTTGAGCTGTAAAGATGATTTCAATTTCAGTACCTGGGCCAACAGGTTGCAAGGTCCACTCGCTGAAGAGGTCTTGGACCTGAGGCGGCCCGGGTTTTAATCTTCCCGAATTGGTTTTCACATCAGCTTTCTTGTTGTTGTCTACCCCTGGGGTTCTGGTGCAGTAGTCCAGGAAGCCGTGTGTGGTCATCACTTCGGTGTAACCCTTCTCACACCCACACACGCCGCTCTACATGAGGAGGGGAATCGAGGCCAAGAAGAACATCATTTACAGCCAACACCAGACAACTGCGATCATTACTTTCCCATTGCTACAAAACACTGCTGACAAAACAGTCTGCCATGTATTGGAACTACTCTGCTTTATTCTACTCTTCCAAAGTCTTTCTGCTTTTACCACAAGTTCATTTATCCCAATGCTGACATTAAACTGTGCTCCTCAGGGGGGTAGATTATGCCAAGAATGTGCCCCAGTCAGACTAAAACCAGATACAATGGAACCAAATACAATCCACCATTTCACAGCATTATCTTTTTAAGCACTGTGGTAACTGTTGGTTTATAATTTAAGGCAACTGTACCTGCATTAAACATCTAAAATGCAACATAATACATGTGCATATCTCCAGTGGTTCTCCTGAACCATCAGTGCTTCACTTTTGTATTTTAAGGTGCAGTTACATTGAAGGTCCTCTAAGGGGCACTAAAACATCAGGTTTAGACTATTTATTTTTGTAAAATGTTATTTAGCCGACACTGAGCCCACATAAATTAGCCTTTAATGGCCTCTTCCTAAAAATTAAAATTGTCATCTGTCAAAAATCAATTTGACTAAAATGTGAGAACAGCAGAACATGGAATGAGAATTACAGAGATCACAGCTGCTTGATCAGAGTACTGTGATCTTACCGGTGTGCAGTGTGAGAAGGGTTTGGTGCACGGAGGATGGCAGTGTCTGACCGTGGTTGGCCTTTTCTGTGGGAAACACCCCCCTGGAGAAAGACAACAGGTTCTTGTTTCTGTTCTTTTACCTACTGATCACTAAATTAATGTGCTGTCACACCTGATTAATGGCCTCAGTTGCCTATCAGAGTCCCGGATCAATCTGTGAACATTTTAATTCCAACATGGAAAATTGCATGTCAAAATATCAAAGAGTAATGCCTTGGGCTTTTGGCTTCTCTGCAAAGGGAGATTATTCCTTCTGGGCTCATATTTGCCAGAAACACTTCCTTTCAGCGATATGATCACATTCACCCACTATTTACAGCACATCAGGCTCACCTAAAGCTTTCATTCCCACAGCACTGTTACCTTTGTTCTGCTTCTTTACGCCTGCTTTACTTCCCACAAATACAAATGCACGATTATATTTATATGGATTGAAAGCCTCCCAGCTCAGAGTCTGGCTTATTGATTACTTGTGTTAAGAGGGAGAGGAGAAATCAATGGAGACTGCACTGAGAATAGGCAGATCAAATAAGGTGTAAAATTCAGCTAGAACAGTATACTAAAATTATTTTGTGTGCAAGTGCCTGTGCATACAGTATACTGTATGTGTGGAGTACAATGAGTATGTTCATACTGCAGGCCCTCATGCACAACTCTGAATTGATACCATCAGATTTATTTAAAGGGCAGAATAACTTTTCATATCTACTGTAGGAAATAACTCATATACAATATACTATTGCAAATGGAGAATAACAAGAGCAAAAGACATCACTTCTGTTTCTGTATCCATCCCACTCACATTTCAATTAACTCCTGAACCACAAAGGAAATCATTTGTACAGTAATTGTACTTCTGAACTACCTGCTATAACCACCTCTGCCAAAATTACTGGTGTGACAGCTTTCACACATGAATGACAGAACATTCACTTACAAAGTCCTTGATGAGGGATCAAATAATTTGATATTGTAGCACATATCCATGTGATCATGGCTGAAATGAAAAATTAGACTCCATGCACCTTTTTGCTGTTTATGATTGATTTGAGCACGGGGGAACAAAACCAGACCTAGAACACTTTCAGCTGCAGGCTGCATTAAGCCAGACATAGCTATCCTTGCTTATATAAGAATGTATGTCAGTGGGTGTTCACCAGTGTCGCTGCATGACCTATCTGGGGTGGCTAGAAGAAACTGTGACAACTGACCTGTGACATTGACGCCATCTGAGCGCTGACACCACACTGCCCTCTTATTGTTGCTCCATCCTCCTGCCTTCCACTCATAACTGTGGCATTTTCCTTCTGTAGCAGAGGCAGAATGGCAGAAACAGTGTTCATTAGCAGTGAGTGTTGGGCATCCAGCTCCCACGGATGGACATTAAGCACCACTTCTTTTGCTGCCCTACTACTCTGCATTGTAAGTCATATTATGGTTGTAGTGAAAGGAACCTTTGCCACTAAAGCAGTATGCTAAGGAATATTTGGAGGAAATGAGATGGTTGAAACTGGTTAGAAATGTATGAAAGACACCTGATTTTTTCTTTGTAAAGAAGGCTCTTATTTTCCAGGGAGAGCTATAGGGGAAGATTGATTTGAAAAGAGGAACAGTCAAAGACACCTGAGCCCTGTACTCCAGCATTAAATAAAATCTAGTCCTGCATGGAGTTCTCAAATTTATGGCAAGATCACAAATGGAAGAAACACCACAGGAAAGGACTTCAAAATACTGAATCTACTTTAAAATCACACATATAAGGTACACAGGTGTGCAAGACAGAAATAAGGCCAAGCATCTGACAATGACTGTTTTATGGTGTCTTTGAAAAGTACACAGAAGGAATGTACACCACACTTTACTGTACACTCAATAATGTCCAAGTGAAAACATTTTTTAGAAGCCCCTTTGGCAGTAGCTACAGCTCAAGAGTCTTCTTGGCCAAGTCTCCATAAGCTTTGCACACCTGGATTTGGGCTGTTTGTCCCATTCTTCCTGGCAGAACTTCTCAAACTCTGTTAGATTGGATGGGAAGTGTCTGTGACCTGCCATCTTCAGGTCTGTCCACAGGTGCTCTATTTAGGCTTGGACTTTGGCTGGGTCATTCGAGGACAGTCACAGACTGCTCCTGTGTTGTTTTGGCTGTATGCTTTGGGACATTGCTGTGTTGAAAGTTGAACCTTGGCCCCAGATTCTGCTTAAATACTCCCCCACCCCACCGACCGTATAATGTTGACACCAACTTGTA